GTTTCGGGGACGAAACATCTTTTAAGGAGGGTAGAGTGTGATACCCCGTATTTTCTGGGCAATATATGAGGACTGTCTGTGCGTACGGAGTTAATCTTATTAAATTTTCCTATCCTTCTACCTAATTTTATTTTATTCTTTGGGCTCCAAATTTGACCTATTATTGTTATTAATATTATTATGATTATGATATTGAGCCTAATAATTAGCAATTAGCAATAATTGTTATTAATTCTATAGCTATTCTGATACAAATAAATATATATGTACGTTTTAGACGGTATCCATATTACTATTCCTAAATATATTATATTATACTATTATAGTTTATATTAACAGTATATATTACCTAGTATATGTATATCCCTTGTATCTCTCCATAAGTTAACCCTAATCCACCCTAAACTTATTTGGTCTCTTATTGGTTTCTGCTACTTCCCCATCACCTTCCTCCGCCGTTTTCTTGTTTTGTGTTGACGATGCCGTATGTCACTTGCTGCCTCCCAAAACCTCGCCGAGGAATTAAGATGAGGGTGAAAGGGGATGGTGACGGCACCCATGAGGATGGCGTGAAAAATAATGAGGTTTGTTTGTTAGTTTAAGTTGATTATGATAATGATTTTAGATAAGGATAATGATGATTAGAATATATATGATGTTTATATTTGATGATGATGATGAACTGGTTCGGAATAATAGGGGCAGAGATGGAGGATGATATTTTGATGTTGATGTTAATGATTATTTGGTAATCACGAGATGATGAGGTAATGATTGTGGTTTTTAGATGTTAGTGATGGTATTTTATAGTTTCCAGTAACACTATTAAAAGAGTAATAATAATAATATTATTATTAGGTTTGATTAATTTGCAGGTTCCCAATCAAAGTTGCTAGGATGATATATTAAGTGTTTCATAGAAATTTGGTTTCGAGGGTAAGACTTCATGTTCACTAAAACTACTATTTTCCCCGAGTATTATAAGTATTGATTCTATATGTTATATGATATGATATACGCTATTAATGTGGACATGAGTGCATTTATCGATAAATGGTACTATTGTGTGGTGATTCTCGAAATATTGAGAATGGGCTTCGACGTGTCGAGCCCTGTGTGTGTAAATCGTTGGCTTGGAAAATTTTGGTGTATATACGCGTGGTGAAATTTGTTTTACCTTGTGGAGTAAAAATGATTTTGGAGAAAATTATATTTTTTGGAGAAATGATATATTTTAGAGAAAATGTTATTTTTGGAGATGAGTATTTATTTATGGAGAAATAGTGAAATTTTGAGAAAATAGTATACAGTGTGGTGTTCAGTAAAAATGTGAGTACTGTTCACTTGGACTAATTACTACTCATTGGGCTTGGAATCCCATGAGGGTGTATCACTTAGGTTATGATCCAGTTTCCAAATTGTTTGTGTGGTAGCAGGCAGGAAAACCTGGCTACTTGGATCATATACTACCCAGTGGCTTGGAATCCCCTGGGGGTGTGCACATAGGTTTTAGTCCAGATTCTGTGTGGATTTTGATGAGATTTGTTAATTCTCCATTTATAAATATTAATTCTCTATTCAAGGAAAAGTATAACACCACATGTATTTTGGAAAAGAATAAAATTGTATGAGCTTTTGAAAATATAAAATCCAAGCCTATATTTTACGGGGTGAAGTGAAACTTACTTAGCTTATGCTAATTTTTGTCTACTCTCTATTTTTGTGTCAAAATCATTTTTACAGGTGAACATGGATAAAGGAATTTGAGATGAATTCAAGTTGAGCAGGAATTAAATTGACTCATTGGAGATTTGATATTTTGAGAGTAAATGGTTGTAATGTTATTTGCAGTTTATGTATTAAGTTGAATTTGGATTATTCAATTTAAGTTGTATTATTAGCATTAGCGTTTGGGTATAAGAGAGATACCTGAGCGTGGCGGTAACACCCAGTTTTCTTTTGATTAGTTAATGCTTCCGCTATGATTTTAGTAAATTGTAAATTAAGAAAAAAATTTAAGGAAATTTTGGATATGAAAATTGGAGTGTTACAAGTTGGTATCAGAGCGGTACGAACCATTGGGATATAAGAAACCTAAGTTGTGAATTTTTATAAGAGCTTAGGTTTTGAAATTTTTAGAATATATAGAAGATTAAGTGACAAGTTGGAAAGTAGGGATTGGAGTTCCAAAGTGGTATGAATACTTAGTGAACATTTGTCTTGAATTTTGGTTTGAGAACTATGTGGTTATGTTTCGGGGACGAAACATCTTTTAAGGAGGGTAGAGTGTGATACCCCGTATTTTCTGGGCAATATATGAGGACTGTCTGTGCGTACGGAGTTAATCTTATTAAATTTTCCTATCCTTCTACCTAATTTTATTTTATTCTTTGGGCTCCAAATTTGACCTATTATTGTTATTAATATTATTATGATTATGATATTGAGCCTAATAATTAGCAATTAGCAATAATTGTTATTAATTCTATAGCTATTCTGATACAAATAAATATATATGTACGTTTTAGACGGTATCCATATTACTATTCCTAAATATATTATATTATACTATTATAGTTTATATTAACAGTATATATTACCTAGTATATGTATATCCCTTGTATCTCTCCATAAGTTAACCCTAATCCACCCTAAACTTATTTGGTCTCTTATTGGTTTCTGCTACTTCCCCATCACCTTCCTCCGCCGTTTTCTTGTTTTGTGTTGACGATGCCGTATGTCACTTGCTGCCTCCCAAAACCTCGCCGAGGAATTAAGATGAGGGTGAAAGGGGATGGTGACGGCACCCATGAGGATGGCGTGAAAAATAATGAGGTTTGTTTGTTAGTTTAAGTTGATTATGATAATGATTTTAGATAAGGATAATGATGATTAGAATATATATGATGTTTATATTTGATGATGATGATGAACTGGTTCGGAATAATAGGGGCAGAGATGGAGGATGATATTTTGATGTTGATGTTAATGATTATTTGGTAATCACGAGATGATGAGGTAATGATTGTGGTTTTTAGATGTTAGTGATGGTATTTTATAGTTTCCAGTAACACTATTAAAAGAGTAATAATAATAATATTATTATTAGGTTTGATTAATTTGCAGGTTCCCAATCAAAGTTGCTAGGATGATATATTAAGTGTTTCATAGAAATTTGGTTTCGAGGGTAAGACTTCATGTTCACTAAAACTACTATTTTCCCCGAGTATTATAAGTATTGATTCTATATGTTATATGATATGATATACGCTATTAATGTGGACATGAGTGCATTTATCGATAAATGGTACTATTGTGTGGTGATTCTCGAAATATTGAGAATGGGCTTCGACGTGTCGAGCCCTGTGTGTGTAAATCGTTGGCTTGGAAAATTTTGGTGTATATACGCGTGGTGAAATTTGTTTTACCTTGTGGAGTAAAAATGATTTTGGAGAAAATTATATTTTTTGGAGAAATGATATATTTTAGAGAAAATGTTATTTTTGGAGATGAGTATTTATTTATGGAGAAATAGTGAAATTTTGAGAAAATAGTATACAGTGTGGTGTTCAGTAAAAATGTGAGTACTGTTCACTTGGACTAATTACTACTCATTGGGCTTGGAATCCCATGAGGGTGTATCACTTAGGTTATGATCCAGTTTCCAAATTGTTTGTGTGGTAGCAGGCAGGAAAACCTGGCTACTTGGATCATATACTACCCAGTGGCTTGGAATCCCCTGGGGGTGTGCACATAGGTTTTAGTCCAGATTCTGTGTGGATTTTGATGAGATTTGTTAATTCTCCATTTATAAATATTAATTCTCTATTCAAGGAAAAGTATAACACCACATGTATTTTGGAAAAGAATAAAATTGTATGAGCTTTTGAAAATATAAAATCCAAGCCTATATTTTACGGGGTGAAGTGAAACTTACTTAGCTTATGCTAATTTTTGTCTACTCTCTATTTTTGTGTCAAAATCATTTTTACAGGTGAACATGGATAAAGGAATTTGAGATGAATTCAAGTTGAGCAGGAATTAAATTGACTCATTGGAGATTTGATATTTTGAGAGTAAATGGTTGTAATGTTATTTGCAGTTTATGTATTAAGTTGAATTTGGATTATTCAATTTAAGTTGTATTATTAGCATTAGCGTTTGGGTATAAGAGAGATACCTGAGCGTGGCGGTAACACCCAGTTTTCTTTTGATTAGTTAATGCTTCCGCTATGATTTTAGTAAATTGTAAATTAAGAAAAAAATTTAAGGAAATTTTGGATATGAAAATTGGAGTGTTACAAGTTGGTATCAGAGCGGTACGAACCATTGGGATATAAGAAACCTAAGTTGTGAATTTTTATAAGAGCTTAGGTTTTGAAATTTTTAGAATATATAGAAGATTAAGTGACAAGTTGGAAAGTAGGGATTGGAGTTCCAAAGTGGTATGAATACTTAGTGAACATTTGTCTTGAATTTTGGTTTGAGAACTATGTGGTTATGTTTCGGGGACGAAACATCTTTTAAGGAGGGTAGAGTGTGATACCCCGTATTTTCTGGGCAATATATGAGGACTGTCTGTGCGTACGGAGTTAATCTTATTAAATTTTCCTATCCTTCTACCTAATTTTATTTTATTCTTTGGGCTCCAAATTTGACCTATTATTGTTATTAATATTATTATGATTATGATATTGAGCCTAATAATTAGCAATTAGCAATAATTGTTATTAATTCTATAGCTATTCTGATACAAATAAATATATATGTACGTTTTAGACGGTATCCATATTACTATTCCTAAATATATTATATTATACTATTATAGTTTATATTAACAGTATATATTACCTAGTATATGTATATCCCTTGTATCTCTCCATAAGTTAACCCTAATCCACCCTAAACTTATTTGGTCTCTTATTGGTTTCTGCTACTTCCCCATCACCTTCCTCCGCCGTTTTCTTGTTTTGTGTTGACGATGCCGTATGTCACTTGCTGCCTCCCAAAACCTCGCCGAGGAATTAAGATGAGGGTGAAAGGGGATGGTGACGGCACCCATGAGGATGGCGTGAAAAATAATGAGGTTTGTTTGTTAGTTTAAGTTGATTATGATAATGATTTTAGATAAGGATAATGATGATTAGAATATATATGATGTTTATATTTGATGATGATGATGAACTGGTTCGGAATAATAGGGGCAGAGATGGAGGATGATATTTTGATGTTGATGTTAATGATTATTTGGTAATCACGAGATGATGAGGTAATGATTGTGGTTTTTAGATGTTAGTGATGGTATTTTATAGTTTCCAGTAACACTATTAAAAGAGTAATAATAATAATATTATTATTAGGTTTGATTAATTTGCAGGTTCCCAATCAAAGTTGCTAGGATGATATATTAAGTGTTTCATAGAAATTTGGTTTCGAGGGTAAGACTTCATGTTCACTAAAACTACTATTTTCCCCGAGTATTATAAGTATTGATTCTATATGTTATATGATATGATATACGCTATTAATGTGGACATGAGTGCATTTATCGATAAATGGTACTATTGTGTGGTGATTCTCGAAATATTGAGAATGGGCTTCGACGTGTCGAGCCCTGTGTGTGTAAATCGTTGGCTTGGAAAATTTTGGTGTATATACGCGTGGTGAAATTTGTTTTACCTTGTGGAGTAAAAATGATTTTGGAGAAAATTATATTTTTTGGAGAAATGATATATTTTAGAGAAAATGTTATTTTTGGAGATGAGTATTTATTTATGGAGAAATAGTGAAATTTTGAGAAAATAGTATACAGTGTGGTGTTCAGTAAAAATGTGAGTACTGTTCACTTGGACTAATTACTACTCATTGGGCTTGGAATCCCATGAGGGTGTATCACTTAGGTTATGATCCAGTTTCCAAATTGTTTGTGTGGTAGCAGGCAGGAAAACCTGGCTACTTGGATCATATACTACCCAGTGGCTTGGAATCCCCTGGGGGTGTGCACATAGGTTTTAGTCCAGATTCTGTGTGGATTTTGATGAGATTTGTTAATTCTCCATTTATAAATATTAATTCTCTATTCAAGGAAAAGTATAACACCACATGTATTTTGGAAAAGAATAAAATTGTATGAGCTTTTGAAAATATAAAATCCAAGCCTATATTTTACGGGGTGAAGTGAAACTTACTTAGCTTATGCTAATTTTTGTCTACTCTCTATTTTTGTGTCAAAATCATTTTTACAGGTGAACATGGATAAAGGAATTTGAGATGAATTCAAGTTGAGCAGGAATTAAATTGACTCATTGGAGATTTGATATTTTGAGAGTAAATGGTTGTAATGTTATTTGCAGTTTATGTATTAAGTTGAATTTGGATTATTCAATTTAAGTTGTATTATTAGCATTAGCGTTTGGGTATAAGAGAGATACCTGAGCGTGGCGGTAACACCCAGTTTTCTTTTGATTAGTTAATGCTTCCGCTATGATTTTAGTAAATTGTAAATTAAGAAAAAAATTTAAGGAAATTTTGGATATGAAAATTGGAGTGTTACAAGTTGGTATCAGAGCGGTACGAACCATTGGGATATAAGAAACCTAAGTTGTGAATTTTTATAAGAGCTTAGGTTTTGAAATTTTTAGAATATATAGAAGATTAAGTGACAAGTTGGAAAGTAGGGATTGGAGTTCCAAAGTGGTATGAATACTTAGTGAACATTTGTCTTGAATTTTGGTTTGAGAACTATGTGGTTATGTTTCGGGGACGAAACATCTTTTAAGGAGGGTAGAGTGTGATACCCCGTATTTTCTGGGCAATATATGAGGACTGTCTGTGCGTACAGAGTTAATCTTATTAAATTTTCCTATCCTTCTACCTAATTTTATTTTATTCTTTGGGCTCCAAATTTGACCTATTATTGTTATTAATATTATTATGATTATGATATTGAGCCTAATAATTAGCAATTAGCAATAATTGTTATTAATTCTATAGCTATTCTGATACAAATAAATATATATGTACGTTTTAGACGGTATCCATATTACTATTCCTAAATATATTATATTATACTATTATAGTTTATATTAACAGTATATATTACCTAGTATATGTATATCCCTTGTATCTCTCCATAAGTTAACCCTAATCCACCTTAAACTTATTTGGTCTCTAGCTTATTGGTTTCTGCTACTTCCCCATCACCTGCCTCCGCCGTTTTCTTCTTCTGTGTTGACGATGCCGTACGTCACTTGCTGCCTCCCAAAACCTCGCCGAGGAATTAAGATGAGGGTGAAAGGGGATGGTGATGGCACTAATGAGGATGGCGTGAAAAATAGTGAGGTTTGTTTGTTAGTTTAAGTTGATTATGATAATGATTTTAGATAAGGATAATGATGATTAGAATATATATGAGTTTTGATTTATTCCGCTGCGTACAAGGCCTTCCAAAGGACACAAGGCCTTCCAAAGAAGGACACAAGGCCTTCCAAAGGACACAATCACACAACTCGTATTTATTTATTCCGCTGCGTACAAGACTCTAACAATCTAGTTAAGAGTTTTGATATCTCTGTTGCCTTAGCAATTGTTGCATTCGCGAAAAGTTTAAAAGTCTATTCACCCCCCCCCCTAGACTTTTACCACACCCCTCTGGGACCAACAATGGGTTACCTTTTAGCCTTAATTAATTTCCTTGGCTATGAAGGGTCTTTCTTTAAGCTTTCTTCTTTCTTGATTTCTCCTAGGGGTTCTTGGAACTTCTTGTGTGGTGAGAGATTATTGTGATGTAAGTTCTAAGTGCCTTTTATGAACCTATATATATATATATATATATATATATATATATATATATATATATATATATATATATATATGCATATATCTTCCTAAGAGTCCTAATTGGGGTCTAAATACTATGGGCTTGTTAATTCTATTCCTTATAGGACTAAGGAGTTGGTTATAGGGATAAGGGCCCATGAATCATGGTGGACCTCTTCCTAATTAATTAATGGGATTTAATTCTTTCTTTTGGGTAAATGATTATATAATTAATTGGTTTTAGGGGTCGTAACACGGGGTGTTACACTCTCTCCCCCTTAAAAGAGGCTTCGTCCCCGAAGCCGGTGCGTTAATCCATTCTTTCACCCCTGGACATTCCGTATTTTGGCCTCCTGGTTAGGAATGTGGCCCCACGCGTTGTCCTAGCTGGGGTAGACTGGATTTCTAGTGACGTGGTGATTGGAAAGTTCGGGTCTACCTTGGTTTCTTGCTCCTGAGCCGGATGCCCGTGAGTGCCTAGCATGGCCTCGATTGTTGCCACCCTTTGATCCAAAGCGCGTGTTGCACGGATTTGGGACGAGAACCCCTTGTCCATGATCTGGTTTTGTCGGGTGAGCTGCGCAAGGATGCCTTCGTTGATGAATTCTTCATTTTGTTCCCTTGGGTTTCCTCTTGTTTGCGCGAGGTCGGCGGATTAGGCTCGCCATCTTCTTCCTGTTCCTCGTTTTCCCCCGGTTCCGCACAGTCTTGCATTGCCCGCTTGAGTTTCTTGTTGGAGATATCCAGCTGATCCACTAATTCCCTTCGTTCCCCCTCGGGTTTAAGGCAAATCTCTTTGAGGGTGATGTATTGTCCCCCTTCAGTGTAGTAGATATAATTGCGATAGAGATTCTGGGCATTAAAATCCATGCCATTTGCGGCCTTGATCTCAGTGTGGCTCAGATCCACCCCCTTTTTCTCCATGATCCAACTTAGGATCATCCCGTAGGGTAGGCTAAGCTGATTGCTAGTTTTGCAAAATTCCATGTGTTTCAACATGAGGGCCGGTAAATTTAACTTGATTTTGTGCTTCAAGAGATAGGCGAAAGTGCACTCAAAACCCCCCACGTCCTTGCTCTTAATATTTGTGGGCAAAAGGCTGTCAGTCACAATCATAACCAATATCTTTTGTTTCGCGGTTAGCCACTTCCTTTTTGGCCGTGTGGCCGAGATGAAACCTTCCTCTTTTCCGAGTAGGTACCCGAGGTAATCCTTGTACCCCATATTTTGGATGTCAATCCACCCTTTCCAGTCATAGTTTGACACACCCGTGGTGGTCAATTTAAAGAGTTTGGCCAAGCGACCTTCGGAAAGTATGAATTCTTTGCCTCGGACCTTAGTGGTGATTTCTAGTTTATCACCTCGTTTGATTGCTACCAAATGTTGATAGAATTCTTTCACTAATTCGGGGTACGTATCCCCTTTAATGGTGAGATATGTATCCAAGAGCCCTTGGTGATTGAGCATATCGACCAATTCCGGAGAGAATTGATCGGGTTCGAGGGCTTTACCTCCGATCACGGTGTAGTCGGCGTTGCTCCATTCCGGGGTTCGGACTCCGAGGGGCTTTTTTGGCATTGCGAAGTTTCCTTGGTGGCGAAGATTTTCTGGCGAGTCTCCGGTGGGGTTCCGGCGAGACTCCGGTGATGATTCCGGTGGTGGTGCGGTGTCTCTGTTGGGTTCGGACGGCGAGGGGGAGGGTGGCGCACAGTGGTGGCGGTCGGGCACGTTGTTGGCGTCGCTAGGCAGCGGGTCGCGGCCGGGCGCGGCGTGGGCGGCCTCCGGGCGTCGACGGCGGCGTCTCGGGGCGGTGTGGTTGGCCCGGTGGTCGTCGACGGTGTGGGGGTTGACGGGCGGCGACCGGGCTGGTGGTGATGGTGTGTGGCTGGCGGGTTCGTGGGGAGTGTTGTCGGCTTTGGGGTGGGGGTGCGGAGAGAGAGAGAGAGGGTGAGAGAGGGGTGTGAGGAAGAAGAAGGGTTTTTGATTTGGGGATTTTTGGTGATTTTAGGGATTTGGGGGTTTTAAGAAGGGAGTGTTCCCTTGAGTTTTCAAGAAACACTCATAATTTAGTGGTCAAGGTTTTAATTTGTAAGTGGGAGGTCCAAGGTTCAATTCCCATTGATAACATTAGTTTTCTTTGTTGTGTGCCCCTTGCCCTTTTCCTTCTTTTGTCTTCTAGTGGCAGGGGATTTGATTGGCCCTCCTCGTGGTTGGTCGATGTTTAATTCCCCTTACTTATGCTAAAATATTTAGATCTTATTCAAAGTAATTTCAAAGTGGTTAAACTAAACAACCAGTTTTACTATAAGGGTGGTTACAAGGGTTTCTTAGTTTATCCTAAACAGAACTCATCTACTTGATTTTCCTCAGGTGGATTTGCGTGATCCTCGTCTTCCGGGGTCATGTTTTCTTCGTTGTGATCTCCCTCGTCCCCGAGTTCGGCTTGTGTGCGGCTCATGATGAATACCTTTCCGGGGGCACCGTGGTTTCCTTGGTTGCTTGTGCTTCCGTGTTGGCCCATGTTTGTGGGGCGCGAGTTTGAGGGTTGTAGGCATTGGAAGGCCTTGTGTCCTTCTTTCCCACAGTTGAAGCACCGCCAAGGGTTCCCCATGCAGTCCCTGCCTCTGTGGCTTTGGTTGCATCTTAGGCAGGGGAAGCCCCCTGTATTGGCTTCGTTGTTTCTTGGGGGCGGTCTTGGTCCAGTTGGGTTGTTTTGCCTCGGGTTGGTGTTGGTTCTTGCACTTTTTATTGGTGGTGCCCCTCCTCCTGTGTTCCTTTTTCGGATCTGATCTTGAACCCCACGTTGTAGTAGTTGGATTCGGTAAAGGTTGGCAGCACTGGAGTAAGCCTCGTTGGGGGTCCATGGCCCGCTCACTACTAGTGCTTTTCGGGCTTCGAAGTTGAGGCCCGATACGGATCTTTCTATTTTAGTCGATTCTGTAGGGGCTAACTCTGGTGCGAATCGTGCCAGTTCGAGGAATCACTTATGGTATTCTGTGATGGTAGTCGTTCCTTGTTTTAGGTGGAGGAACTCTTTGTGCATAGAGGCTTTTACGTGTGTTGGGTAGAATCGTTCTCGCAGGCGCGTTTTCATATTTTCCCAGTTGAATCCTGGTTCTTGCCTGTAAGTGGGTCCTTCGTGAATCCACCAAAGGTCTGCTTCATGTCCGAAGTAGAAAGAGGCTATCTCTACACGACGCTCTTCGAGGCATTCTACCAATCCCAGGATATTGTCGAAGGTCGGTATCCATTCCTCGAGGATGGTGGGATCTTCTTCTCCGGAGAACGTGGGTGGTCGATGGTTTGAAACCTGTCGGGCGACTTCTGAGTTTACGTTTGTTGGTGGTCTGTTGTTGCGGAGGGCTACGTCGCTTAGTGCTTGGGCGACTTGGGTGAGTTGCTGTAGGGTTTGAGCCAAGGGGTCGTGTGTGGTGGGTTCCAGAGTTCTTGATTGTCTTCTGTTTGGTGCCATGTCGCTTGATCTACAGAGCCAATGTTTATAACGGTTTAGAGGGTTGCACTCTTACCTTGGTGTGATAAGCAAAGGGGCT